GTCGAGATAACTCAACTCCAACGCTCGTTAACAGGTAAAGAAGGGTTTCATTTGAGATGTCGAGATAACTCAACTCCAACGCTCGTCAACAGGTAAAGAAGGGTTTCATTTGAGACGTCGAGATAACTCAACTCCAAGACTCGTCAACAGGTAAAGAAGGGTTTCATTTGAGATTATAGCGGCGGAAATCTGGCGAAGAGCTACGGAGTTTGTTTTATTTAACTCTGATAACGAGTGCATTGTTGTTTATTGTACGCGAAAGATATGTACACTGAAAATGTTTTAATTTTTATTGATTTTTGATTGTTGTAGCATTACAAAATAAAGTTCTTCTATAACTTTACAAACTTTTGTCAGTTTACTGAAAACTATGCTTGCAAGACTCTTTTGCAGAAGCCTTACAAATGACGACTCACAGAAAAGAAAATTTTCAATCTTGGAAGGACGGCAAAAATTAATGTGGATTATAACTTTACAAACTTGTGTCAGTTTACGGAAAACTATGCTTGCAAGACTGTTTCGCAGAAGCCTCACAGAAAAGAAAATTTTCAATCTTGGAAGGACGGCAAAAATTAATGTGGATTATAACTTTACAAACTTGTGTCAGTTTACGGAAAACTATGCTTGCAAGACTGTTTAGCAGAAGCCTTACAAATGACAACTCACACCGCCACCTCTCCGCCACCACCACCAACTAGCATTTCTTTTATACTTAATAGCAAGAGTTTACTGTTCTCATCCTTGTGGTTCAGTACCCAGTAGTTAGTGGTGGTGGCGGGGAGGTGGCGGTGTTCCACATCAGTTTTTGCCGTCCTTCCAAGGTTGAAAATTTTTCTTTGACCACTTCTTAAAACTGGTCATTTTCATGGGATCTGAAATATCGATTTCAGCCAATCAAATTCGTGAATTCGGTAGTTCCCAGTCCTTGTGAGACAAAGCCATATAATAAACAAGAATATTATTCCAAAAGCTCACCATTGTAACAACTTAGACTTGTACGATACGTTCGACTTGTGCAAAGACGTTAATTTAGCGGAAATAAGAAAACAGCGCGAGTAATAAGAAGCATTTCTGTTACATGCGCGCGCAGTTTTGCACGGTTCAAAACCTATCGTAGCGAAATTTGCTTGCATGTCTATTGAAGTCTTTGCACTGAAAATATTTACGCTCAAATTTACCGTGAAATGCTTCAGGCAGTTAAAATCTTTTTATACTGTAATTAAACGTCCTTTAATCCTTGTTCGTATTTATGTTGTTGATATTTACTGATCTGAATGAATCTCATAAAAAAGCAAGTAGTTGCGTGGTTTACCCTTGTGAATGAATGAAGTTAAACCCTCTCATGACACAGAAACTTGACTTAATTACAAGTGCTGAAATGAACGCAGTAAGATTACTTAATCCATAGTAAACATGTAAACAATGCGACTTACTCAAGTTTGTCCATCGCGTTTACAGAAAAATCCATCAATGCGCATGTTNTTTTTTTTTTTTTTTTTTGCACAACAGCAATCAAACTGACTGCGTGCAGCAAAATAACATTAAAATAAACATTTCCAATACGCAAATAACCAATTCCACCCTCTGCTACTTTCTTTTTTCAGGATAAAATTCGTTTAATTTTCCATTGAAAATAATGACAAAGTTATAACTCCTTACACGTCCCGAGTTTAACAAACTCCAAAGCTGAGGTCAAAATTTAACGTGTCCAGATAAGCAAGATCTTTCGACGAACGATCGCGAGATAAACTTTCGCCCAAAAAATTAATGACTACAAAAGTAACATAAATGTGTTAGTTGCTTGCGTGGCTGCAGCTGACCACAGTGCGCGCCGTTAAACCTGGTATGCATTGATAATTAATTTTCCACCAACATTAGTGTCGAAGCCGGGTGGCGCAGTGGTTTGGTGCGCGCTACTCACTACGACAAGTGAGGAAATAACGGAGACGTAAGTTCGAGTCCCGGGTCTGGCGAATAGAAGATATTTTTTTCTTTTTGCACACTCAAATAAATTGATCAGACCTAGCCTTTGTGAACATTTTTTTTGAGTTTATTTATACTGTAGAATCCAACCGCTTACGTCGAATGAAAAAGGGCAAAAAAATCATTCTGGCAATGTAAACTTTCTGTTCAACCAATACGACCAACCTTAAACGCCAACATGGTTTCAACTGGCTTATCATGTTCTTGTTGTCTGACAGTCTCTTCTCTACAACATGTGGCTGGGAAATAAGGATGCGGGAGAAATAATGAGCGCAAACGGAGAAAATACTCTCAATAGGATAGCGCCTATTTGTGTTTCTATGATAACACTACGATCCTGAAATTTCTTTGTCAACGATGAAAACTGTTTCCGTTTCTTAAATGTAAAAACTAGGCGAAGCTTGGAAGTTTGTTTCAGGCCGGTAAACATTGGTAAGAGCGCGTTAAAACTGCTTATATATGGTTACGATCTAAAACAGAGCATTTAAATTCGCAGATTAAAAAGCAATTGAAAACAACAATGACCAAATTGAGCACCGACAATAATTACAACCAAACCAAATACGGATGAAGGAACACATGTACGTATAGCCGACCTGTTTTTAGTCATGCCAAGGTTTTTTCAGTTACTGCGCCAGGGTTGAGGCGTTCCACCTGTGACAGGAGCACTATCAGCGAATGGGAGTAGTCCTGTATGGACTTCGTTTCCTTCTGCCACCACTCAAAGAACTTCCTCATGGCCTGTGTGGAGGTAAGCCCCTCACCAAATSAGCTWCGTAGTACCTGGAATACGGCTTCTGGGGTGTTTTTCTCCTCATCTGGCCGGAGTCGCAATTCCTCCTTGGAAGCTCCCTCCAAGTGGTATAGGAGGAAGTCCACAGCATCTGCCTCGGACTGGGAACTGATGGCTCGCTTAGCGTCCAGTATCCAATCCTCAATCAGATGATCGTCTCTGACTCCTGTAAACTTCCGAAGTTTACGTTCTCTGGGTACCTTAACAGTGACCTGTCCTGGAGAAGATCCTGATCCTCCGGTTGCTGATGAGGGTCCACTGTCTCCGTTCAGCTGGACTTCCAGCGTTGCCAATGTCTCAGTGAGGGTTTGAGTTGCTCAGCAGTGGTCATCCTTGTAGTTTGCCCGTTCCCGTTTTAACTCTACGTGAAAAACTCGTATCCCACTTCCGACACCAAAATGTAAGACGGTCGAAACGGTCGACGTAGTTACGACTGATACGAGTGTACGATTTACGAGTTTATTGACAAAAATAGCGGAGACAATAACAACAGGGACAAAATAAACAGGAACGAGTAGCACTGAAATACAATAAACAAACTAAAATCAGCCTAATGCTAATAAAGAGTAAAACTAAACAAAATAAGCCCCTCTATTTTCCTCGGTCCCCACCACCACCCTGTCAAGTCTCCTGTTTTGCGCTGGCGTCCAGTTCTCTCGCATTTCTATCTGTGCGTTTAATGATCGTATCAAAATATGAGAAAAAAGAGGGCTGTGAGCAGTCTAACAAACTTAAAAACATAGGCACGCAAGGCGT